GTTTGGAAGCATTACCTTCGTCCTCATGAGTTCATTCTCCACACCGATAATGAAACACTTAAGTATCTTAAGGGTCAAACTAAGCTAAACAAGCATCACGCTAAGTGGAGTGAATTCATCAAGTCATTTCCTTATGTCATCAAGTATACAAAAGATAAGGAAAATGTTGTGGCGGATGCGCTTTCCCATAGATGCATGCTTGTTACCCAACTTGAATTGAATGTCATTGGTTTTGAGCACATAAAAGACTTGTTTGCGCATGATCCTACCTTTTCTATTCCTTATGCCAAGTGTTTGACGCATACATCTTGGGAATGATAGTACCTCAAATATGATTATCTTATGAGAGCTAACAAACTATGTATCCCCGAGTCTTCTCTTCGTTTGCTACTTTTGCAAGAGGCTCATGGAGGTGGACTAATGGGACACTTTGGACGCGACAAGACATTCGCCACGCTCTCTAAGAACTAATTTTGGCCCAAGATGTTCCGTGACATCTCACGCTTCACCAACCGATGCTCAACATGCCGCAAAAGCTAAGTCAAAGGCTCAATCCCATGGTCTCTATATGCCACTTCCAATTCCATATCACCCATGGGAAGATATTAGCATGGATTTTGTGCTTAGTTTGCCTAGAACTAGAAATGGCAAAGATTCTGTGTTTGTTGTTGTGGACCGATTCTCTAAGGTGGCTCATTTCATCCCATGTAACAAGATAGACGATGCTTCACGTATTGCAAATCTTTTTTGTAGGGAAATCTTGCGACTGCATGGAGTGCCCAAGACTATTGTCTCGGACCGCGATGTCAATTTCTTGAGCTACTTTTGGAAGACTCTATGCGCCAAGCTTAGAATCAAGCTCTTGTTCTCTTCGGCATACCATCCTCAAACCGATGGCCAAATGGAGGTCACGAACCGGACACTCTCCACTCTACAACGCGTGTTAATAAAGAAGAACATCAAGGACTGGGAGGAGTGCCTACCCATCGCCGAGTATGCCTACAACCGTGCAAGACATTTAACTACGGGAAAGTCCCCCTTCGAGGTCGTCTACGGTTTCAACCCGTTGTGCCCATTGGACATTCTTCCTCTACCACTACAAGAGCGCATCAACATGGACACGAGTGCCCGAGTGAACTACCTCAGGAAGATGCATGAAGATACAGTTCACACCATCGAGCGCCAAGTACAACGACTCGCGACCAAGCACAACATCAACAAGCAACCCATGATATTCAACATTGGATATCTTGTCTGGCTACACCTTCGCAAGGACCGCTTCCCCAACGAACGCAAGTCCAAACTTCTACCACGAGCCGATGGACCCTTCAAGGTGCTTGAACGCTACAACAACAACACCTACAAGATCGACATCCCACGTGACAAGTACTCCGTGAGCGATATCTTCAACGTCAAAGATCTCTCTCCCTAACATGGTGATGAGGATTTCGATCCAATGTCGGATCTTTCCCAAGGGGGAGATGATGCGGAGCATCCTATGGTCATCCCCATGGACCTACCATCGTCTCACCAAGTGCCAAGAGGACCAATGACACAAGCACGAGCTAGAGCTCTCGAGAACAAGGTGACATATCTCCTTAGTGATATTCCATTCGACCCACTCGAGACATGGCTACTACCTAAGTCCGGAATGTTGTGCATGATCGGGTACCAAGAAGGCCCTCTCGAAGATGCATGTGAAGACGGACAAGTCCCCAAGTTCATGGACGAAGAGGAACGACAGAAGGAACCGGAGAAGTCCCCAGGACCCGGAAATCCGGCCCCAAGCCCCAGACATCCGGCCCCTGGAGCTTTCAACCTCAGCCAACGCCCACCAGCCGAGGCTATAGGGCCTGGACATCCGGCCCAGCCCCGGACATCCGGCTCCTCCTATCCAGAGAGCAACCAGATTGACCAAGTTAGCCCGGACATCCGACCCAGGGCATGGACATCCGTCCCTTCCCGAGCCGCTGGACATCCAGACCGCGTCTATCCAGACAACACCAAGACCAGCCCCGACCGCCCAGACATCCGGCGCCAGCCCGGACATCTGACACTTCATGAAGGCCCGGACATCCGGCCTCCCCTGTCTGCGCACAGTGTAAGGGCCCGAGGCCCATGTACCCCTTCGCCCACCTAGAGTATATATACTCCTCCTCCCTCTTTCTAGGGTTAGCAAAGGATTAGCTCATTTGAGAGATAGAGCTTTGCTCATCCACTTGGTTACTTCTCCATTGGAGTCCACGGCCTCTTCGGAGAAGATCCCCCAAGCGGATTCAAGACCCCATCATGGGAATACCCCTCAAGACCTCCTCATGGAGAAGAACTACCACCACTTGTATCGTCCTTTGTTGGATTTGGATCGCATATCTCTTTGTGTTTCGAGAAACTAGCACATGTGTAATCGAATCTTGTTGGTTTGAGTGATTTCTCTCGGGTTTCCCCTCGTGATTTCCCTCGTGTTCTTCGTAGGATCCGCTCCAATGGTGAAAGATCGGCCCTAGGGTTTCCACCCTACATCATCGGGCTCCTTGGCATTAGCCACCCCCGATACAAGACCCCGCCATCTACCGTGACACCATGCTCAAGCTGGGCATCAAGGAGAACTAGCTACAACCCAGTCGGACGGTGTTCCACGGCATCATGCCAGGGCACTCCTGCTCCCCTATCGGCACGATCCGGCTGGACGTTTCATTCGGCACCAAGGGCAACTTCCACCACGAGCCGACCTGATTCGAGGTGGTCGACCTAAGCAGCTCCTACCACACGCTCTTGGGTCAGCCCGTGCTGGCCAAATTCACGGTGGTGCCCCACTATACATACATGAAGTTGAAGATGTCCGATCCCAAGGGCATCATCACCATCGCCGACGACTACAAGAAGTCCCTTGAGTGCGCTGAAGCCGGCTCCCGGCTGGCTGAGTCTTTGGTCATCGCTGAATAGAAGCACCAGTTTGACCGGCTCGTTGCTCTGGCAAGCGAGCGGGTAATAACCCACAAGTGTAGGGGATCAATTGTTGCTTTTTTGATAAATAAGAGTGTCTAACCCAACGAGGAACTAAAGGTAGGATTTATATTCCCTTCAAGTTATATCGACCACCGATACCAATCTACGCACACTTAACGTTCGCTTTACCTAGAACAAGTATGAAACTATTTTGTAGGTGAAAGGGTAAGTTTGCAAGGATAAAACTAGATGTACTTAGTGAGAATAAAACTACGAGTAATTTGCAAGATAATAAAATTTAGTTGTTTAGTAGAAAGATTTTTGTAACACAAGAGAAGGATTTTTCCATATAATAGATAACTAGACCGGTAATCATTATCACAATTTTATATGAGGGAGAGGCATGAGCTAACATACTTTCCGTACTTGGATCATATGCACTTATGATTGGAACTCTAGCAAGCATCCGCAACTACTAAAGATCATTAAGGTAAACCCAACCATAGCATTAAGTAACAAGTCCTCTTTACAACCATATGCGACAACCCCAAAATGAAACAGGAGGCACCATAGGACAGCACCAGAATAAAACATACAACTCAAACCAATCACGACCATTAATCAACCCATAGACAAAATGAATCTACTCAAACATCATAGGATAGCCATACATCGTTGGGAAATAGTATATAGCGTTAAGCACTATGTTTAAGCAGAGATTACAACGGGGAGAAGAGGTGTTACACGCTGCATAGAGGGGGAGAGAGTTGGTGATGACGACAGCGAAGTTGTTGGTGTAGATCAACGTCTAGATGGTTTCCCCAACGGTACTCCGGCGCCACTGGGAGAGAGGGGGAGGGAGCCCCTCCTTCCGTGGCCTCCCCCCTAGATGGGAGGAGAGTTCCCCCTCTGGTCCATGCCCGGCATGGCGGCGGAGGGGCGGAAGCCCCTCCAAGAGAGATCACCTTCCTGTTTTCTGGCCCTTCGTCGTTTCTTAAATTCTTGAGGATCCATGACTCCGATTGGGCTGAAATTTTGATACAATTTTCTTCCGGATGTTATCTTTCTTGCGGCGAAAGAAAGGCACCTACCGCCTTACAGGGGCTCCACAAGCCTGCCGGGTGCACCTGGGGTAGGGGGGCGCGCCCCTCGAGCTTGTGGGCCCCTCGGGCATCATCTCACGTTGATTCTTTTTCCCAAAAATCACATATATTTCAAAATAAATCTCTATAAATTTTTATCGCGTTTGGACTTCGTTTGATAATATGGATATTTCACGAAACAAAAAACATGCAACAAATAGGAACTGACACTGGACACTGGATCAATATGTTAGTCAAAAAATAATATAAAATGTTGTCCAAAATATAAAGTTGTAAAATATTGGCATGAAACAATCAAAAATTATAAATACAATGGAGACGTATCAGTATCCCCAAGCCTATGTTAGTCAAAAAATAATATAAAATGTTGTCAAAAATATAAAGTTGTAAAATATTGGCATGAAACAATCAAAAGTTATAAATACAATGGAGACGTATCAGTATCCCCAAGCCTAATTCCTGCTCGTATTCAAGTAGGTAAATGATAAAAAGATGAAAAGATAACTTTTTTTTTGACAGATGACTATTGCTCGGCAGATATGTTGGCGTTTGCAAAGCAGAGGATTGCCCAATCTGTATACTGATGCCGCCCAAGAGGGATCCTGATGATTCTGCACTAATACACAGAAGCACTGTAGCAGTTGATTTGGGCCCTTAGACTTTGATTGAATGGTGGATTTGTCCTTAACGCATTTCTGCGTCGTAGTGGCACTTACAGGACGACGGGAAAGTAGCAGGAAAAAGTGGTATACTTCGTTTCAAGAAACACAGATGTAGTATTTACAAGATAGAATAAAGCTCAATTCAAGGAGTTGCACTATATTTATCTTTGCTGTTCGTGGACAATTTTACAATTTTCATCAGCAAGACCACACAAACCATTGTTGACTCTGCCGCTGCAAAGAGAAACAAAACGATTCTATAACTACATATGAAAAACCACTCACTGACTCAGCAAGCCTCGGTTTCTCGAGAAGGCTCTTTGAAGCAATCAACATTGCATAGGCCCATTGATCTAATCATCTCGCCAAGCCTGCCAAAGATTCCCAAAGGTCAATGCAAAAAAATGTGAATCATACAGTATAAAATTTGATTTGACCTCAAAAAATGATTGTTACATAGTCTATGCTGATCGAGTACTCTGCATGATGGTGCAAGAGAGGAGGCTGAGGGAGGACCAACCTGTCAATGCTTTTCCTTGGTTTGTCTGTCTGTTCATTTTCATCTCTTGTCCTGTCAAATGTATCGACACTTCTCCTTGATCTCTCCTTATGTGTGATGGACCTTGTCTTTTCCCTGACGTCTGTACTTCGATGGTGTTTATCTACACGTTCAGTGCTCAGCCTAGGAGGCTGCTCATGCCTTGAGCTCTTCCTCGATGGCTCTAACCTCTGCGAGGTCATCAAATGCGCCTCAGAAAGAGCGACGCTATCTGAAGGTTTTTCATTTCCAGCTAGCAACTTCTCACTCTCAGGTGCTGCTTCTTTTCCAGCAGGCAACTTCTCTACAGCCGACAGAAACTTCTTCAGATGCCTTATGTACACTGGGAAGGTCTCCAAGTTACAGTGATCGCCTCCCTCGATCCACAGAGGCTCATACTTCTGTTGGCTCAGCTCCCATATCCGCTTTCCATGGGAAAAATCAACAACATCGTCACTTGTACCCTGAGAAGAAAGGGAAACAGGCCACCAGGTTTATCTGAAGCTATGCACGGATTACACAAGGAGCATATCAGATATCACTACAACGTGTGGATGTATTTAATTCCAAACTTACATGAATCACCAGAACAGGGCATTTAACATGGGGAATTTTCTCGATGTTCTGTAACAAAGCAAATGTCTGTTAGTGTAGACAAAGCATGTGAGGTCTTTCAGTATTTCTCTTGATAGTTCAGCTAGTGAAGCAAACCTTATATATGTCAAACCAGTATGTTTTCTTCACAGAATACATGACACGCAGGCCAGAAAGTATGGGACTATGCAGAACAACTGCTCTTATGTGATGCAAGTGAGCAGCTAAATCAACAGTGGGGCCACTACCGACAGATTGACCATAAAGAACAATGTCTTCTTCCCTAGTCCCATAAACCTCCACAAGGCATTTATATGCAGACTCTATGTCAGCAAATGTATTAGCTTCACTTGCCTGAAAATGGAAGGCGCAGAAAGATTGTCGCAACAGAGTTTATTTTTCTAACCATGAGATAAACACATGGGATGGAACAATCTTCCATAAAAACAAATGGAATTAGCCAAATGCAAAAAAGGATCCCTTAACAGAAGCACTCACGTGGGAATCAGATTTGTGGCCTCTCCCATGACAAGAATATTAAGCTATTAAATGATTTCCACCTGCCTAAAACCTTTTTTAACTACTCTAGTATAAGCATGTATTGCTCCTCTAGCGACATGATAGAGCATTAGTTTCAAGAAAGAGCAGAAAGTATTATTAACCTTGCCTGATGACCGTCCATAACCAGAATAATCATACCTGCGAAAATTGAGCAAATTATTATCAAGGCACCAAAATGAGGTGTTGATACATCAATGATCAATGTTACCATTAAAAGTTGTAAAATGGAGAATAATACAAGGCTTGCTAAGGCATCAAGGAGAACGTAGGCTTGTAGCATTGGAGCATTATTTAAGTAGCTTACCTAGAATGACTAAATCTTCACAGAGGTGAAGTTGTATATGGCATGCAACGATAAAGCCATTTACACAATGGGCACCCAATTCACTGGTCAACATGTCAGGCTAACATAAAAGGCAGAGTAACAGTCTTTGAACATCTGTTCAAATTTTACGCAGCCAGCTTTAGTCTGTTATAAGCTGCAAACCTCTGACCGATGAAAATTTACTGCAAAAGGGTCGGTTTTTGTACTAATTAATCCAACCAAAATCTTGAATGCATCATGCAGACTGCACATCACCCCTATTGGACTATTCATCCTACATTAGGCATTCATCCATTATTATAAATTAAGAGGATATGCAACTTAGATAGGTGAAATACTTGTGTTAAGGGTGAAATCAGGAAAACTGCAACTGAAGGCATTTTAAGTCAGTATCACGTATAATTTCAGCTCAGATGGCATCAGAATAAACACTGTGGGTGGGAAGATTGTCCAAACCAATTTCAATTTGGTGAAGAGCCAGATTGCACATTTGCTAGAAACCGAAATTGTTGGCTTTCCATCAATTTTCGTATTTTGATGTAATCGTGTGCCCTAATTCGGGAGTAACAATAACTGGGCACACTGACCTTATATGTTGGCTCAGTATTTTGCTTTTAATTGTAGTTACACTAGAAGATAACTGCGCATTGCAGTGGGATTTTAGCACAAAATGAAAAGGCAGAGGTTTACCGAAAAAGGCTTGCGCCCCGCTATATTAATATAGCAACCACCCGATATAGCCAGAAGTTCGATGCTGGGGCAAACAGCACAATCATGCCCAAAAGAAAAACAAGAGAAAAGCAAGAGAAAGAAATGCCGGCAGCACCGGATGAACGAAAGCTGAAGCATCCCGCAACCGCTGCGCCCACCAGAAACATCCACCACGCTCCAATGCCATCGAGTCGCCGCGAACCAAGCAACACCTTCAGGAAGGACTGCGACGACGACGACGCTGCTGCCCGGACGAATCCTAGGATTTCTCCCGGTACACGGAGGGAAGCGGGCGAGAGGTACTCCCGACACCCTTCAAGAAGGTTGATGGCGCCAGCAGGCGTCACCGCGTCGGTGCCGGGCGGACCCGAGAGGGATTTCGCCCTACCCCTCATACCCACAACCCAGGACCAACCGGCGGCTCCACCACGCCAACCGCCCACCAACCAGCGCCACCACAGTCACGAGGACACCACCGTCGTCTCTCCACCGCAGACACTGCGAGGCCGGCCGAACCAAACGAGACCACCGCCGATAGGGACCAGGAGCACCACAGCCACGTGGGAGGGGACAACCTCCACGGCACAAGCCGTAGCAGACCGGACACAGGCGCGGGAGCACGCCGGACCCCCTGCCCAGCCGGGCCCAGATCGGGCCCGTTAAGCTCCTGCTGCCGCGCTCCAGTCGACGCAGCGCAGAGCCGCCGGTCCCAACGACCGCATCCCGCCAGCCCAGCCGGAGGAGACCCGCCGGAGGCCAGACCAACCCGCCCTAACCCAGATCGGGCCCAAAAGGGCCCAGATCTGGGCTGCAGGGCTCCGCCGGCCAACCCCCGTCGCCAGCCGCCACCACTGCCGAATCTGCGCCCGATC